CCACTAATGTTCCCATCATCGTCAGGGCTAGCATAAGTAACAGCACATGATCCTTGCTGCGTTTTATGCTACAGTTGAAATTATTTAAATCGTCAGAGTTTTGGCGTTTGATTTTTTTTTGTGGGGATCCCAAAATTCATACTGGCCGACTCTGTATCTCCATCAGCTGATTGATGCTCAAAATTCTGCATCAAAGATGAGTAAGGGTAACGATATTTTTCAGCTGTTTGAGGCTCAAAAATGTTGCATAAGAAACGGAGTGAAAATAACGATATGAATCCACTCTCAAATATTTATCTTACCTCTTTGGAATGTAAAGCTTCACAAATACTTACTAAGATATATAAATATAGTGCAATTCAAAGTTCTCCTTCAATGATAGCTTTATTTAAACATTTTCTAAATGTAAGATGAAGTACGATCTATCAAATTATATATAACAGGGAAAGCTAATTAAGAATTACCACTGAATGCCAACAATCTATCAACAGGGTGGAAGTTCTCATGTAGAAGTGGCTGTAACAAACATTTGTTACAGTTTACACGGAAATCATATATCGACGTTTGAAAAAATTTCATTTTCAAATTGAAATAATTTTTTTTTTTGTTTATATAGTTTTTACTGAAGTTAACTCGCCTATAGGCACAAAGTGCCATGTGAATGATGCTATAGAAAACAATGCAAATTGTCATGTGAATGATGCTTCGTCTGTACGACACAGCACTGTTTCATAAACGAACATGTTTAGATCAGAAGTATCAAAATCGATTTCTAATAACAATTTGGAGTTCTAATTCCAGGTTTTAGCCATTTCAACAAAGATTGTGTACCAATGTCCCCTGGACAGGTTTCTCCTTCTTTTAACAAAATCTCTAATATTTTCCACCAAATTACCTTCTCAGCAATTGCAAGTCAACCCCTATTTGTCTCTTACTATTATCCATATGGACAAGTCTTTCTTTATTAAATGCCTCTGAGGCACATCCAAGTTGGCAAAGGAAGGGCAGTGCGGGGCTCGCAATCCCAGCGTGGGGAGTTCGATTCCTGGTTGGAGCAACTAAGTGTTGTAATAACCAGAGGAAGGGTTGAAGCAGTTTGGTGATGTAATAACCATGGAGGAGGCTCCCTTGTGGCCAGGAGTATAAAGGCTGTTCGAACCCTGGTCAACTTGGGCACATCCCGCGATTTACCTTCCTGAGCTGCTGAGAGGCCGGAAGTTCAGGGACAAGGATATAGTTTGGCGTAAGCTGGGACACCTCGTTAAAAAAAAAAAAAAAAAGTCTCTTTATTAAATTTTTTTTGCCGTCTTTTCTTCTTTTTTTATTAAAATTTCTTGTCAATAATTCTACTTGAATGAAAAAATCAACGTCTTCTGAAAGCTACTTTCTGTCGCAAGCTTTCAAACTCGGCCCCTACCTGTTTCCAGGAAACTTCATATTTATCATTTATTATTTTCTGTTGTTTCAAAGAAATTGCAGAAGTCTAAATGCTGGATAAAAGAGACAAAGTAGAGAAAGATGGGAAATGGGAACTCAGATGAGCAAGTTTATCAATCTGCTTTTGCCGTCTTTTCTTGTTTTTTCATTAAAATTTCTTGTCAATAATTTTTCTTGCGTGAAAAAATCAACGTCTTCTGAATGTTGCAAGCTTCTTGATAATTTTCAATCTTGGCCCCTTCCTGTGTCCTGGAAACTTCATATTTATGATTTTTTTCTTATTTTCTATTGTTTCAAAGAAATTGCAGAAGTCCAAATGCTGGATAAAAGAGAAAAAAATAGAGAAAGATGAGAACTCAGATGAGCAAGTTTAACAAATTGCCCATGCCTTCCCTCTCAGCGAACCCTCAATCTGCTGCATCACTGGCAGGACATAGGCTGGACGACGAGGAGTTGTCGATTGAGGTATGTTACCTAAAGATTGTTGCTTGCTTTCTTCTAAAAAAGGTTGAACCCTAGGGTCCCCACCGCCCCGTCCCGCCCCTAGAGCTTTGTTAAGGAGGTAAATCGCGGGATGTGCTCCAGCGGGCCAGGGAACAAGAGCTACATGTATACTGCGCTTACAAGGAATCCAATTCTATGTTTCAAGAATCGAACCCCCACATTGCGGCTGCTAGCAAGGTATGAGATAACTTCACTCCTGTCTTTTGCACCACTGGACTATGCCCCGAGGGAACGTTGCTTGCTTTCTTCTAATTTGGCTCAAAAGTTGTCCGTGTAACATATGAGAGATGGATTCATCACTTCTGATTTGCTGTCGACAGGATAAAACTTTCCACTGCTGACGTGTTTGAAATAGTCAGGTTCTCTTACCACGTCAACAGTAGTAAGTTTTTATATTATCCCCTATGGGTAGGAGATCAATTGTAAGAAATTCATATTCAACAATAACAAGTTTGCTTGAAATTCATCGTAGGCAAGCCCCTTTGGTTGATTACTGAAGTTCATGAATGTATGAATTGTCTCCTTATTGTGTCCTCTTAGACCATCTCCTGTTTGGTAGGAATTAAAAAAAAAAAAAATATATATATATTTTAAATAATTGGTTATCACAGTTAAAAAAGCATGACCCTTGAAAGGTGAAGTCTTTGGTTCAAAATTGTGTATTTTCCACTTCATCTTTTTTCAATTTTTAAAAAATCAATAGAAATTTTTTTTTTCAATTTTTAAAAAATCTATAGAAAACTTGAAAAAAATAAAATAAATAAGCTTTAAGTGAACCAATGATAGTTCAATTGTACATTGATCCAATTATGCTAATCAGATTCGAGTTCTAATTTAATATCTATGCTTGAATGAGTTCATATATGCATTGGACATGCATGGCCGTGCTTCCCTAACATGAAAGTAAAATATTTGCGCGTTTGTTTTATTCATACCTAATTTTCGCTAGGCTACTAAACCACGAGATTGTGGCAAGAAAGAGGAAGTTTCGCCATCCCGCCCCTTGATCCAAAGGGACATCATTATCAACTAGCTTCATTCGTCCATCAATTCTCAATTGGAAAGGCAAGTTTCTCTATGCGAAAACACAAAGGCAATGCGATACTCAACACAAGCAAATGTGCTTTTTATGTTGTTCATTTTTGTCATTGCTGGGGCTTTTGCAACAATCTCAAGTCGTCCCAACATCGGTCCTGCAGAGACCACTTGATGGGCATTAAAAGACTAATGGAGGTACCAGAGGGGTTCTACTTTATATTAATAGTCACGACCATATGTTTGGTGAGCATAACTATGGTGATCATCGTCATGTGGTCGCAGTTGGTTCGAGACTCAAGAGCATTTTATCTGAAATTACTCGTATTCTTCGTCATGGCTTTGACTTTCATCATTTATGCCCTTCAGTTGCAGCAGATTACTCCACACTTCTCCATAAGGATAAGGGGGGATTACAAGATTTCAAGCTTCTAGCTTTTATGGCTATGCTCTTTGACTATAATACTCATTTTGGCTACACTTGTGCTCATTGCAAAAACGATTGTTGGGGTATAGAGGTTGACCAATCATTCTTGACTGTAATTAGCACCGGTAAATAATTCTCAATCTCAGCTGTAATTAGTTCGTCAAAGGCAATGTTGGAGTAGGAGTTGGACCGGACCACCTGAAGGTAGCACGGAGGCATAGGCATAAGCATGAGCATGAGAATGAGAATGAGCCACGTTGTAGTAGGGGACTAGTTAAGCCTTTGGCTTATTTTTAGTTTCTACTTTGTCTTTCTAAGCAAGAATTCTACTCAAAGTTTAGACACTCGTTGTTTTTCTTTGGTTTTTGCTTAGTGAATAAAATTTTAGAGTTCTCATTTTGGTATTCTTGTGAAAGATCGACAGACTTGCACTCCCCAAATATTGATATTTGCAAATCAATGGATTTTTTACATACTATTGAATCTTTCTTGGTTTCGCTGCAATAATTTGGTATCAATACGAAAATCTAGATCCTTGTCGGGATACAGAAAGACAATAATGTACCGCTGAGTCCACAGATGAACTCGTTGGCACGACAAGACAAAATGACAGTTCAATTTGTTAAGAAACATATTCGCTCCCTCTGTTAGATCATAGACGAACCAAAAATGGATCAGTAAATGCCAATGATGACAGGGGCAATGGGTAACGTTGTTAACTGTTCTATATATTACAATACGCAAAACAAATAAATTAAGCCTTATGAGCATGAGCACGAGCACAAACCACACTGTAATAGGGGCATAGTTAAGCCCTTGGCTTATTTTTGGTTTCTGCTTTGTCTTTCTAAGCAAGAATTATATTCGAAGTTCAAAGACTCGTCGTTTTTCTTTGGATTTTGCTTATTGAATAAAATTTTTTAGAGTTCTCATTTTGGTATCCTTGTGAAAGATCGACAAACTTACACTGATAATTGCAAATCAATGGATTTTTCACATACATATTGAATCTTTCTTCGTTTCGCTGCAATAATTTGATATCAATACTAAATTCTATTTTTCATTTATGTAAGAAACCCAATCTCATTGATTCACTCTATCGGGGATTATGATGCTAATGGTCAGCTCAGACTACCACATCGGTATTTCCATTGATTCACACTATCGGACATTCACAGGGTGGCTCAATTGCAACAAAACGATGTCCACAGATTCAAATTTTGCACGGCTGTAAATAAAATGATACCATTGAATAATGTCAATGAGATCAAGAAAGAGACGTGTGATGAAAATTGTTAATTGTTCTATCCACTATATTACATTAAACAAAAATGTTATATAAAATAAGGAAAATGAGAAGTTTTGATCTGAAAATTTCCAATCAAGTCGAATCTACTAAAAACTGATTATGTTTGATGGGAAATCTTGAAAGGAGCATTCATACACTCGGTTACCATCCACCTGTTAGCTATTACTAACAAAAATATTTTGCCAGTGTAGAATAAATTCAAACATTTTTAGAAGGAACAAACAAACACATTATCCTTTTCCCAGGCGTTTGCTCCTTGATTTTCTCAGGACTTAATTCTGGGACCCATCAAAGAAAGTGGAGACAATGGTGTATAAACAGAGGAACAATTGTACTGAAATATATATTGTGTTCTAATGCTTGTAAGTACATAATTTTACAACATTGCTTACTCAAAATAGAGAGTCAAAGATTCATTGAGGCCATGTCGAGTCTCGTTTACAGTGGCTTAGCGAGTTTTGGAGGATGAAGAAGCTGCAAATCTGGGACTAACAACTGGTTTCTTCACAGGAGTAACACTGGAGACAAGCAAGAGATGGCATGACGAGGATTGGCAATGATATATGCATATAGAGAGAGAGACTAGTATTCTCGCATATGTTACTGAAATTAGTACCTATGGTTCCTCTGCACTACTTTACTCTTCGTGGCTGCTAAATTTTTGACCTCTTGGCTGCAGAAAAGAGTAGGAAATCACGGGGCTGGTCTTGGATCGATTTCTTTTAATGACGAAAAATTACCAGGAGAGAGTCTTGATGAAAATTGTTTCAAGCATGTTATTATATATATATTTTTTATAACCATGGATGTCCGGACCAACTTACGAGCACCTCAACAGTCAGACACTACTCGAGAAAATGTAGCCAATACATGCCCTTGTCCCATTTTTTATATAATTTTTAAATTATCGACACTAAATGGATACTTTAGAGACATCCCTGAGTAAGTTTTCGATATGTCATGTGGTCGTGTCCTATATAAAAATAAAGATACTATATATAAATTTTAAATTTCAAAGAATTCAAAATCGACTTGTCTCCAATGCGTCATGTCCTACCTTTCCAATAGTTAAATGTCGCTGTCCATGCATGTGTCTGTGCAACTTAGGTAACTATGAATCTTCATATTGCATTTTATGTGATAGACAACGAATGCAGGCAGGCACATGCACAAACAGAAACAAATTTGACAAAGTCAGATTGTGAATCAAAAATAAATTTTGCTTTGACTTGCCAGTGATTGATGCAAGCTCCTATCCCCACACAGAGGCGGCCCTGAGGGCACGCGAGTTGAGCGACCGCACAGAACCTCACCATTATAGGGGCACCAATTTTTTTTAGTGTATATATATATGTAGAAGTATATATTTATAATGTTTTTATTAATTTTAAAAATTTAAATTTTTATTATTATATTAAGTTAAAGGGCACAATATTTATGAAAAAAGAGTAAAAAAATTATATTATGTTAATATTCGTTTAATTTAACATATATGGGAAAAAAATATTATAAACTATCTATTTTACTAGTCCTAATATCAAATGTCCAGTTAGCTTCATTAATCAATTGCCAACCTAAGAACACAATAAGCATCTCAAAATTCAAATGATTAAAGTGCAGAGTAAAAAAGCTAACACTAGATCCCTTTTTATCATTTCCCTCTTTTTCATCATTTAACCCACGAATAATAGTCAAATAAAGAACAGAAGAAATACTATCGTCAATCTTTGTAACTTACTCTACAATAGTAGAATCTATTATTGGAGCCAATTGTCCACTTGTTAATTGCTATTTCATGATGTTTTATTTATTTTTATTTTTATTTTTTTTGTTGTTCTAGAAGGGTAAGTTTTTGTTGGATGATAAATGATAGGTGATTATATTCAATTTTTGTAAATTTTTTTACCAAAAGAAACAAAAATAGCTTTGATATATTGATTTATTTGAGAAGATTGGATTGCTTTTTGAATATATTTATTGCTATTGATAATTGTAGTTATTGTAGCATCTGTCGAAAGTTCTTCAAAACTAAAAATTATTAAAATCTTATTTGTGACCACCCATGTGACAACAACAATTAAATGAGCTAGTTTTGACATCCATTGAAAAAGATTTACCAAAACATACTGGTTACAAAAATATTAGTGAGTTCACTTCTAAAAATGCAAGAACAAATATTTTTACATAATTTGTTGCATTTCAAGATTTACACGTGGTATTTGCTATTTTTGATTTCAAAGTTTACTCATGTGAAATTGTTAGTTTAGTAGGTTGGATGGTTTCATAAACAAAATTTTAAATTTCATATTTTTGCGATGAAATAAAGTTATTGAAATATTTCTCATAATATATTTTTTATTACATGAAAGGGATATCATTTAAAATGTCACACAGGGCACCAAAAATTTTAGGGCTGGCCCTGACCCCACACGTTATGACATGAAACCCATGGTTCAAGAAATAAGTACATACACCACGTTATAGATTTGAGGTACCTATTGAGGAATTCTAGCTTTGCCTTCTTCATCAGCCCACTTTTTGTGTTGCAAATGTTACTGGCATTTACGCCTGCATAAGATTAAGTTACAGCGTAAGAGAATCAGATTAACATATTCACAATAGAATATTTCATGCATTTTTTTTTTAAATTTCTTTGTGTGAGTCAATTGAATCTCATGAAGATCATAATGAAATAAGTACCTCCACAGAAGGTTCTTTTCCGGCTTGAAGGTGGAATCTTCGTGCACACCTGAACTTGTCGACTTTGTTTTCCTACAGAGCAAACTAGTCAGTATGTTCAAGTTTGGGCCAACAAGCCTTCATATATTTTATATATAGGCGTAACTTTTAGATATGGATATTCAAACAGAAATGTTATATCTTGTGATGCAATATCGCAATATGCTTATTATTTATTCTTACAAGAAAAACAATTTCACTAAGTATCGTTTAATACTATTTGAGGTTAACACACCTCGAACCCGCCTCACATGAGGCGTTCATAGAACTCCTTGAATCTCGCACCTTTAGTGCATTATGAGGCTTCGGCTAGACTAAGGTGTTAGCCCATTTGTCTTGTATTTTCAGGACATTTAACTATTGGCCTTCGCAAGTGGAGGTAAAATGTCTTGGTACCCAATCAAGTCTTTTTAAACATCGTCACTATGGACACAATTTCACCATATGTATATCTACAGGATATATTTTCTCATTAAACAAGAATAAACTAGAAGTGAACACTGAATTGAAGTCATGGGAGAAGCTTCTTAAGATGAAAAGGCTACAAATAGTACGAAAACTGAAGTCATGACATCAGACTACAAAAAAATGAAAGCTAAGAAACTTTGGATTTTACAGGAGATGACATCATTCATACTGTAGAAGGTCAATTTGAATCGATATTGCATCTAACTAGAGCATTGTATACCATAAAATTCAAAATGACAAGAAGACCAAGTAACTGTATCGAATGTTCAGCAAGTTAAGAAACATCATACAAGAGAGGAGGCCTCCACACAACTGTATGGTCATTCCATCTGACCTTAAGATCATATATTCAAGTTTCAGAAACAGTCTTCTTGATTGCAGGGGTAAGGTTGCGGCCATCTACCTTTCCAGAGCAATAGCAGGACCCTTATGATTGCTATGTCCCTCTTTTTAGAGAAGCAAGATAACCATGGCTCGGATAAGGTTATGGATGTAGTATGTAAAAAGGAAATGGAAGAGACAATAACGATCATACATGGAATGGCAAAGGTATCATACATAGAAGGCAAATTTTGAAAAATAAATAATTACTATGGCTTACAATCAATTAAAGAAGACGGGGTAAATTAATGGGAAAAGCAATATAATAAACTTTAGCAATCTGTATGGCTATAGGAAGAGGAAGAAGGAAAATAATAGGTAAAGAGGTAAAAGAAAATCATATTCTATGTACATTTTTGGAGAAAATGATCCTAGACCTTATAAAAGGAAAGGCAAGGAAAGGATAGAAAAGGATGCATACAAGAGACCTTGATAA